TGTCCTTTAAAGGCCTCTTCCATTGTCACCTCTCCTCCGCCATGCCCACGCCTCTGCCCAACGTAACCGCGCTCTGGTCGCATCACGGTCCTCTGTATTTCCCCTTTCAATGTCACGGGCATATTTCTATCCCAATACAATTCCTGTAAACCTCGCCCTGTTTTTTTGCCATGTACACGGAAGTGGTGTCCACACCCAAACACACACAAATCAGGACCACTCCGAGGACATCAGTGGTGCACAGCGTGGTCAGCATGGGCGCAGGTGCAAGGAATTAAACGAGGCCCCCTCTGTACAATGCTGGGCATGCCGTTAAACTGCGTGCGGTGATAGTGTCACCTCCCCAACTGTCCTTCCCTCGTCATGACTCGAGAACCCTCGTACAAAGTGTGGGTGAAGAGGAGTGGGGGGGGGGGGGTTGGAAGAAGTTTGAGCCATGAATCTGCACTTGGGCAGAAAACTTGACGGATGCCCGACCAGGGTAAGTGGTGGCGCAGTGGATAGGACACTGCACTGTGAATCTCACAACTTGAGTTTGATTCCTGGCATCGGCTAACATTAGTGGTTAGTGACATCCGAATCAGCTGTGGGACTTCTCGAGGCCAGCTCAGCCTTAAATGGGTACCTGGGGCATCTCAAAGCATGGATCCATCTTTATGCGATCCAGCAACTGCACACCTTCATAATGAAAGCCCTTCAAAACGACACCTTGAACATGGCAGTCTGTCCCCTGGGAACAACTTAATATAAAAAAGTTAAATAATTTATATATGAAGATGCTTTTTCACGAAATTAGTCTATCGGTAGGTCACGTGTGGTGCGGCAAAACGTGGGTATTCCTACCTCTTTCAAGACACCTGGCCAGCAAGGAAGAAGTAGGCCAAGTACCATCTGTGGGAGCTCGCTACAGATGGGGCCATGCAATTACAGGTGCAGTTCAGCAATTGCTGCAACTGCGCCTTTACATACATTGAGAGCTGGAATCTCATGGGAGGATGGAATTGGGTGGTAAAAGGCGATTTTATAATAGCACTAACGACGTTAACGACGGCAACGGAAACGACGAGGTGTTGATTTTGCAGACGCCGATAAGAGAAGGGAGATCGGGCAAGATTCATCGGGCGCGGGGGAGGGAATGAAGCGTGACATTCCACGGGAGAGCGGCTGAGAATGACGACACGAACAAATAAAAATACCCGCAGTAAATTGTAAGTGGGAATGTGTAAATCAGGCTTGCGGGGACAAAGATTAGGATTCCTGAGTTTGGGGGGAGGGGGGGTGGGGAGAGGGGGGGGCGGTCACAGGTCACGAAAGCCATGCATCACTCGCGGACAGCTTCCTCACAAAGGGCCGCTCCCTTCATCGCTACCGCCAAGGGACACGGTCCATCCGTGCCACCTCCGGCCGTCTTCATCCAAGTCCCTTGGTAAGACGCGGCGGCTCGGCTTCAGTGGTGGCGATGGCCCGCTGGGGCCTCTCCCCCCCCGCCCCACGACGGAAATTGCTTTGCGGCGCCTTTCCTTTCGATTCATAAACTCCCGAGTGAGACGAGGGGAGAAATGTACAGGATGACGAGAGAGAGAGAGATGCAGTGATATGAGAGAAAGTTCGGATAAAAAGATATAGGTGGAATAAGATGAGAATAGAGAGAGAGATACAGATGAGACAGAACTGTCGTGAAACGAGAGAGATCGATGCAAGAGACAGAGAAGATGGAGACAGACAAAATGGAGATGCGAAAGATTAATTCACCTTTTTTTATTTACCTTTTATATTTTTAGAAGCTGAATTCGATGACATTTTGTAAATGTATCTTTTTTCTTTGCCACGAACCTACGACCCCTTGAGTGTGTGGGGTATTCCAAGGCTCTTGCTTAGTTTGTGTTCACGCCACCGCTATGGCAGCATTGGACCATCGGTCATTAGCGGATCGGTCAAAAAAACTCACCAATAACTAATATGGCATGAGCACGCCTTCATCCAGCAGTGGATTGACCAATGGCCTTGCATTACCATTCTGAGGAGGTTTGATTCATTCCAAAGCTCAGAGGCAATGCGTGTTAACTGCTCACGTAAAAACGAAGTTCGTATCGCAACAGAATACATTTGTAATGAAAATGTGAACATTCTGATGGCATGAAATCAGTCGACGCATCGTTCCCAGCAAACCCGTCGATCCGATGTATCAATGACCCGGCCACAGTGACCCCGAGCCGGCTGCGGCCCTCTCCGAGCCAGGCCGCCCTCGCGATCCCCAATCGCGTGTCGACTCTTGCAGGGGGACACGCTGGCCTTCGAGCACCTCGTCATGTTAATCACGGCCACGAGGAGGACCGCTCACGAAGCCATCCACCACCCCCACGTGCAGCGCAGAGGATCCGGCCTGCACCCCGCACCCTCGCCCTGCGAACCGCAGTACAAGCTACCCCTCACCCACGAGCTCCGAGCCCTGCTCGCCACCAAGACGACCGCTTCAGCCGATGCCCCCCTCTCTCACCCACCACCACCACCGCCCCCCCAACTTAAGCGCAGCTCATCCCGAGTATTCGCGTCTCCGCGTAACTGATGAGCGTTAACCAGTTCATATTGAATGAGATAGGGATGTGGTATTGGATGAGGCAAGGGTTTCCGTATTCGATGAGAAAATGTTTCAGTGTTGAATGTGGCGAATGTTCTGAGTCGGATGAGACGAGAGTTCTGTGTGCCTTGAACCTTCGTGCAATGCGCATCACTACGCATGACGTTCCATCTCAGTACCATTCTATCTGAAGAAAAAACCGCCACTTTTTTCAAATTTTCTTGCCGTGGGTTTCACACCCGATGATGATTGCTTGTGTTGCAATCGAAACGTCGTGAGAATTGTATTGTTTTATTTTTATTTTATTTTATTATTTTCTTTCTGTGTGACTTTACCGAAAGAACCAAGAATATGAATCCCTGCAGTCACGAAAGCTTTAAATGTACTGTGTTTACCTGGAGTTTAACCACGTCTCTGTCACAAGAGACGAATTTTATTAATGGGCCGTTGTCTTTTGATAAGGGAAATCCATCAATAAAAGTATAATCCTCATCAATATTATTTAGCCAAAAATACAGATTTAGAAAAACCTATATGGATGGCGGGGGGAGTGATATGACACTGACGCAATAGGGCAGAGCGACCGTCAAAAGGTTAGAGTTCAATGACATGGGTTGGTCAACCTTTGACCTTGGGGGAAATAAAAACTTTGCATGAAAACGCGCGCGCAGAGTTAACCAACTTCAGAATTCACCACAAAGCCCTTTGTGCCTCACAGCGCCACGGCGCTCAGTCAATCAGCAGATTGCCAACTCCGTCTTCAATTACAACATGGTTTTCCGTTGCTTTTCGCATCCCACGATCAAATCATCGGCCAACGACGCCCGACCTCAGCAGGGTTTGAACTTGGCGAGTGCTTTGCATGGGAGACCACCAGAGCGTGCCGGGTGTTAATAATACTGGAATGGTTACATTCAATATAGCGCCTTTCATCGATGATCTCAAAGCGCTGCACAAGACAAAGCAGCATCAAAATAACTCATCGGAAAAATATCACAATGAAAGAAATGCTGAAAGCTATTTTCTGGGAAAAAGCTCGGGTCACCCATCGACCGAAGCTTGGACCTGGGAACGCAGAGGCGACCTGCATCCTCAGATCTCAGAGACCTTGAGGGCATATATGGGTGCAGCATTATCCGGGTGTACGCTAGGGCAAGCAAGGTGGTTCAGAGCTTTATCAGTAGGCAAAAGCATGCATGTGGCTGAGAGGTGGCAAGGAGGTGATAGTACAGCAATGGGTTTAGTCCAAAAATATGATTCAAAGGATTGAATCTATCTGTGGATTGAAGCCATCTGTGTGGAGATTTGACTGTGTGTGTCATGGTTAGCCTGTACGGGCTCTCCGGTTTCTTCCCACGTGCTAAACATTAATGGAATTCATCTTCTTGGTTCTTTCGGTAAAGTCACGTAGAAGGGAAGTAATAAAATAATAAAAATAAAACATAACAAAATAATTCTCACGACGTTTCGGCCACAACGCAAGCAGCCGTCCTCAGGTGAAGAATGAAACACCACCAAGCTTGGAGCGTATATTTAAGCTGGGTCGCTCCAAGCTTGGTGGTGTTTCATTCTTCACCTGAGGACGTCTGCTTGCGTTGTGGCCGAAACGTCGTGAGAATTATTTTATTGTTTTATTTTTATTATTTTATTACTTCTCTTCTACGTGACTTTACCGAAAGAACCAAGAAGATGAATCCCTGCAGTCACGAAAGCTTTAAATCGAAAATTCATGGAATTGGTCAAACAACCCAATGCAGAGCATTCTCCTGAAAAGTATTCTGAAGGCTCAGCGTGGCATCCTGAGATAATCAAATGCATTATTAGTGCTGGTAGAGTGGTCGAGCAGCGGTTAGCTCAGTGCACTATGAACCCGTTCACCCGAGTTCAATTCCCGTCCATGATTAACATTAATGGTTAGGGGTATCTATGCCACTTTGGGCTCCCCCCCCACCCACCTTCACACGGATAAGAGCAGCGAAGAATGGTCTGGAATTAATTATTCACATTGCTAAAGTACACTTCATCCATAGATCCCAATGCGGCGTTTATGGTTATCCGGAAATAAACGGACCCAGGGTAAACGGCCAAAACTCGGGGGTGAAGGCGAATTTAATGAGGTGAGTTTTCAAGATGGGCTTAAATAGCTCTAACGACTCTGTCTTATACCAAAGACAAAGCGTTCCACAGCCTGGGAGCTGCACTGCAAAAAAGGCCGATCATCCCAGGAACAGAGCCTTGATCTCGGAGTACTTAGACTAAGGCGATACCGAGGTCTCTGGGACATCGTCGGAGAGTAAACATGGATGCAGTGCCTGCAAACCACGTGGGGGGCTAACCAACAATGATAATTTTACTATCGCTGCAGGTTTAGCGTGCTGTTGAAATAAACACACGGACACTTATCGCGCTCTTCAAAGACAAATATAATTATATTTTAGTTTTTAAAGGAAACATTTTGCTTATTGTTTATAAATAAGCATTAATCACAGCTCAAAGACATGGTTTACAAAAACAAATACTGAATACAATAAATACTTTAAGTATGTAAGTTAGCTTTATATACATTAACAGTTTTATAGCCTTTAAAAAAATACATCTCAGTGCAACATCACAGATAAGATGCAAAACATTTTCTTTTCTTTTTTAGCATTTTTCATATATAGACCCAAACTTGATTTCCAAAACGGTTACCAAAAAGCGGTGCACTTCCTGCTTCTCCTGCTGTATTAAACTTTGTATGCCCTGCCTGCAGCAGAGAAACCGCACTGACGAGAAATGCGCAGAGAGAACGTTGGGGTCTGTGCACCCTAAAAAGGTATGTACAATATTTTACAACGGACGCATGATTGTACTTGGTCATTTATACAAATATTTCCCGACGACAACAATAACGACGACGACAAAACAAAAAGTGACTCTTGCAGGATAAATGCCTTTCGTTGGGGAGAACGAAAATAACAAAACGTACCACTTTAACGCGGCCACTTAGTATCGATTTCGTGCAAGCGAGCTGAAAGAAGAGCGCCGGGTGCTGAGATTTTTCATAACGATACGAGATTTTTAAAAAAGAAACGCAACGACGATAACCCCTCCTGTCAGGGCGCCCCTTCCTCTCGCACGTCACGAGTTTCATCTCGGCTGGCGTCGGCAGCACCGTCGCCGGCACGGCTCTTGCTCGCCGCATTCACTGTCGCTGCCACCACTGCCGCCGGCTCCGGCCTCTCTTCTGCCCAAGTGCCGGTTGGCCCGGCCTGGTCGCTCGCCGCCGATTGCGTCTCCTCTTCCGTGCATGCGGCACGGCCGTAGTGCAACGTTTCTAAGTGCTGATTCGGGGACGGCTCCGTCGAGTTTTCCGCCGCGATCCCGGTATCCTGCTGCTGCTGCTGCTGATGCCGATAAAGATGCCGAAGATGATGATGATGATGTAGATGGGATTCGTGATGCTGATGAGTCTGTCCGGGCGTGGACTGCGCCGGCAGAAATCCCGCCGTCGAACAAAGACCGGCGAAGACGCTCGTCGCCACCCCCGGTGATGGTGGTGGAGGAGGAGGGGGCGGACCGCTCGCCGGCTGCTCCCCCGCCGCGCGGCTCCGCGCCAACGCCTCGGCTTGCTGCGACGGCGGCGGCGGCGGTGACTCCTCGGCACCGGCGAGCTGCGCACGCGGGAGGCCTGTGCTGGGTACTCCGCTCTGCGGGGCCTCGCCGCCCATTCCGCACGCGGCGCCGCGAGCAGGGGGCCCCGCCACACCCGTGTGGACCATGTGGATCCCGCCCACGGAAACTGTGCGGCACGGGGCCCAGGCCAGGCCCTGCGAGTGTAGGGGGAGGTGGCTGAGGAAGTTCTGCAGAGGCGCGGTTGATGCCGTTGCTGCCGTTGATGTCACCAGGAGCTGTGGCATCAACTCCTCCAATCCTTTGATGTTCCAGTCAGGAGTCATCACCTGCAAGAGTCGATGAATTAAATTTTTTTTGACTTAAAGCTTTCGTGACTGCAGGAATTCATGTTCTTTGGGTCTTTCGGTAAAGTCACGTACATAGGTTCAAAAAATGTTACAAAAAGCTACGACGTTTCGATCGCAACACGACCGCTTGTGTTTTGGCCACAAATGAATGCTCAACGAAGTGGCTTATTAGGACCCGGAGAGAGAAAGAACACGCAAAATTCCAAATACCCAACTGGCGTCAGGAATCGGGACCGAATCTATGACCTCCTGCATACCAGGCGAGGGAGATAACATCTCATCACAAAGCACAGGAATGGGATTGAGACAACGCTCACCATGGGTTCCTCCGTGTCGTCTCTCGCGCCCAGCTCGGGACCACGGGACGGCACCCGCGTGGGCAGGGTGAGCGCGATGACGCTCGCCGCCCTCCCGCCAAAGTCTCCGAACGTCCTCAGCGAGAACTGCAGGCCCTCGCTCGCCCCGCCATGTGAAAACCGCCGCGTCGCCTCCTCTTCCTCCTCGTCCTCCTCGTCTTCATCCTCCTCCTCGTCCTCCTCCTGCCCGTGGGCTCGCACGCTATCCTCCGATTCCACACGCGCGAGCCGTCCCCCGCGCCGAGCGGGAGCGGAGCGGAGCCTCTCGTCGCCCGGACCCATCCGCTCTCCGGAAACGGAACGGCTCGTTCCGGCCGAGCGGAGGGCGCGGGCGTCCGCGCCCACGAGCTCGACGACGACGCCGCCGCCTCCTCCCTCCTCGTCCTCCTCCTCGTCGTCGTCTTCGTTGTCAACGTCGTCGTCTTCTGCCCCCTCCGATTCCTCCACGTCGGAGAACTGGTGCACCTCCTCCCAGCACTGCAGCCGCTCCTCCTCGGCTCCTGCATGGGGAGTGGGTGCGTTTGGGAGGATGGGAACACGAGTTGGCTTGCATGAGAGCACGTGTATATCGACGGCCCTTAGGTTTTTCCCCCAGGAACCTTAGTTTGGCTCTAAGAGTCACCCGCACGGTAAATAAGACCGCTTCGCTCCAGTGCTCGGATGATAATATAACAATAACACCTTCATTATATATTGTGTCATTTATGCCAACAGCATTCCACAAATCCCATAAGAACCAAATCCCATACACGGGGGTTGGTTACGCACGGCACGAAATAAGCCCAACACACACATACATATGAAGCAAACTAAACCCCTACGACAAAGCAAAATGAAAAATGTATAAATAAATTAAGAAATCGTACCAAAAGATAAAGAACAAAGAAAAACAAGTTATTAAAACAAAGAATGTAGTCCTTTAGGTCACATCCCAGACCACAATCTCAACTTCCCAGCCGAGCCAGGAAATCTTCACAGGAGAGATCCCGACGCTGGTTTACAATCCAATCCTCCATGTACTCACCCCTGTCTACCTCGACCACACCCTCAACGTGTTTTACTCCCTCTGGTGTGCTCACCACTCCAGCGACCAATAACTTCTCACAAAACCCTCGTGTGCACATTGCCCACGAGAAGCCCACTCCCTCCCTTCAACAGATGTACACGAAAACAACACGCAAATACACAAAACAACAACTGCCACTCGCCGTGTTATTTTGTATACAGTACAACGCTAGTAATCCCACGTCGTGGCTTCAAGTGTCTGTGATGTCACCGTGGAGCTTATGCCAAGCTAGGTGCTCTTTGAGGCCACGGGAAGTGCCAGAAGTTCGCTGGCAGGAGCTTACGGGACAGGCCGATGTGCGCACGAGCACATGCAAGGGCAACTCGGTCACATGCAAACCAGCCTGCTACTGAAGGCAGATGTGGGATCGTAGTAGAACGGTACAACAATATATATTTTCTGCACCGTCCCCTGCTGCCCGCAATTTGAGACAGGGGGCACCCATGGATGGGATTTACCGATTGAGTGGCCCCAGTATCACATGACAGAAGGCAGTGTGCCAGAATCCATTGTTGTGTTGTAATTGTATGCTCCCTGTGTTCGAGACCTTCCCAAAGCCACACTCACCAGCGTGGTGAAGTATACATATAGTCAAATAACTCTCACAAATGACACGGCACCGGGAGGCCTCTCATCCAATAGTGAATTGACAAATAAGCTGTGCATTTAGTTTTTGCCGAACAGTTAATGTGTCGCACTGATGATCCTCAAACGTGATATCCTGAACGTGTACATTCAGGACCCACGATGCTAAGCAAGTCACTTGAACAAATGTTTACCCAACTTGGCTTTCTACGAAAACGTCTGGCCAGACAGTTCAGAGGTCAGAGCACTGAGCCGGCACTGAGCTGGCACCACTGAGATCCTGGGTTTGAATCCTGGTTCCAGCCACCCGTGATTAAACTGGGTTCTCAAGCATAGCAACTGATGGTCTCAAGACTGGTTACTAATTAGTGTACAACACGATAATAAATTCGGTTTTCCACAGAAATTGGTCCAAAATTACATCTCTGAGAATAAAAAAATTTATATCGGTTCAACCACAGTACAACAATCTCGTAGAATAGTGTGTGTGAAAGCGCAAACTCTACTTTAAAGGATAAAATAAGCACTTGAAGGATATATTTTACACTTCTGCGGCAATTATCTGACACACATGGGTCGCACTGCTCAGCGAGATATAAGACTAAATACTTCATCACACGACGTGGCATCAATAAGAGCAACTGCAATCAGCTGGGAAACTGGAAAAACATAGCAAAGAAAATGGACTAATTTAACTTTGCGGTTTGGTTTTTACGAACGCTGGAAGTCATCACATTGTCGACGGGTCTTGGGGCTGTGCAACGTCGCGCATCACGAGAGCAGGAGACATTAAAACATTTTCTCAAAACACAACTCCTCGCGCGCGGTGAATGGAACGAGGCATTCGGCGCCGCCTTCCCGAGACAAAACAGCGCGGCGTCAAAACAATTTACAGAAAATCATTTCGATTACTTCAATGTGAAGCGGTGCGAGCGGGCTTGCGCGCGTGGTAAAAACACACTCACGTGTTTCGCAGGGAGGAAAGGGTGCAGAGCCAATGTGGGGATGTGCAAAAAAACATATGCTTGACTCACTACGTCGCCTCCACATTTGGCAAGGCGTGTTTTTTTTTGGTTAGCCGAGTAAAGAAATGTAATGTCACAGGGTAGAGGGCTCTTTGTTTTCTTTCAAGTGAACGAGCGGTCCCTTTTGAAGGTGTAATGACTACAAAGCGGAACGCCGTGTTGTTTTGTACACAGCGCTCAAAATTTCCCGTAGCGGCTTCATCAACATCGTAACGTCGACAACATAGCACGCTCGCGAATCTCAAAAATGTACACATGGGTACGCCGCGTTCAAAACAGGCCTTTGATAGTTTTTACTTTATTTAAAATGTTAAGCGTATATATATTTAAACTCTTACCGACGTTTTCTGGAATGCAGATGAGTAGACGTAACTCTCTTGAGAGGTGGATGGGTGGCACGGGAGGTTACTAATGACCACCAGCGTTGCTGCTAAGATCGAGAGTATGCATCACTGGCGATAACCCCGACATTATGCAAACGCAGGAGATGTCTCAACCTGGTCACTTAAGTCTGCATAAAAATATTATGTGATATGATATTTGCACAGAAACTCAATTGCATCTGATGGATAATTTAAATCGAAACGCAAAATAATAATCCTCGCCAGTACAGCCTAAACCTCGTGGTTGTGAGCTAGACCATTGAAGGCTTTCACACAAAGGTGTATGTGGGGTTAATTTAGCCACACATCAGTTTGTCTTGGGCACTAAGTGGGACCGTGACAGTGATCGTCTTATCAAATAACTGATTCCCCACGAAAGGAATTGGGAATTTCAATTTCTGTCAGAGGGCAGGCAACACGGATGAGCACCACCCAATGCTATCTTGAGCAGGGAGACAGATATTTTGAGATTGGTTTTCAATCGAGGTGGTTGGCACTGATGAATATCCCTGGTCCGAGTGTGGGAGTCAGCTGCCTGTGTGATTAAACTGGGTTCTCAAGTGTCGTGAGTTGCTGATCTCAGCCTGGGCACCAATGACAGCACAAAAACCAATGAGATTTAAATTGAGTTTTTCACCTAAGTCACCAAAAATTGTCAACTCTGGGAGTACGAATATTTGAGTTTGATTGCCATCTGACGAGGGCTTATTTTTAGCAGTGCAGGTGGAGAAGTTTATCGATGCTATTAATGCCAATAGCATAATAAAAAATATATTAAATCGTGACTTAAAGCTTTCGTGACTGCAGGAATTCATATTCTTTGGGTCTTTCGGGATAAGTCAAGTAGACAGGTTCAAAGAAAATAACAAAAAAAATAATAAATAAAAACTACGACGTTTCGATCACAACACAAGCGGTCGTCATCAAGGAGGCAAAACAAAATATTTTGGGAAAAAACAACAGGAAAAAATGGTTTAAAAATTCTAACGCTCAACTCTAGATCTCAAGGATGGAGCAATGGCACAGTAGCTTGTGGACTTGAGCTCTGAACCCGGCAACCCGAGCTCGGCTAACATCAGTGGCGAGTGATCAAACCCAATTTTGGGCCACCCCCCACACTCCTCGCCCCCCCCCCCCTGCTACCCCCAGCTTCGTCTACCTACTCTGAGCGGTGTGGCGAAGTACGTTTAAACAATCCCCATGACTGACAAGGCATAGGCAAGCCTTCTAATCCAGCAGTGGATTGAGAATGGGGCTGCAATTTATTACGAGTACTCGAGATATAAACTTTATTGACGAGTTTACCAAGTTCGCAAAAAAGTCATGCTTGAGATTATGTAATGGTTGCCAACAAGTGGCGTTCATCTTCGGAGGACCGAGAGGACACATGGGATCGGACGGGCAGCCGTCAACACAAAAGTCGTTTTGCGTTATTTTCAAGCGGTGACGAGCAGACAGAGCTAATGCATACACGCTTTCAACCTCAGCTGGCAAGCGTTAATAAATGGCTTTAGCGACAGCTCCTACTCACACGGCGGCGCCTGCCTAACCCTTGGTCGCCACGGAGATGCTTGCCCCCCACCATCTCCCCCCCCCACCCCACCTCAGAGAAATAATCTCACTTCCATCTGCGCTTCCGCTCGGCACCCCTGCTCCGTAACTCACGGGTGCCGCCGGGTCAGGTGTGACGGGACCCCGCGAGAGCGCCCGTGCCCTCGACGCGCCCACAATCTTGACAGCGATCGGAGCAGAATGCGACGACTGGGTCATCTGCCTGTTTATCTAGCGAAGCGGTCACCGGGAGGAAGAACGAAAATACGATCGCGGGGGGTTTTGGCAGGTTTACGCTGAGGGGGGTTTGGTCAATCAACAATATTGTGCTTGGGATCCCCCTGTGCCTTCTTACATAATTTATCATTGTGTTTGTGTGCGTGCATGCGTGTCTATGTGTGCGAGAGCCCAGGCTGTTCCACTTGTCCGTGTGCGTGGCCCCATTTTTTATGGCAATCTACTGCTGGACGAACGGATCAAGTTGGTGGGACAAATGTGAGCAAGTTGGGATGGGTTCTCCATGGGAGGCGCTGTAGATTTGCGAAAGTTGGAGAGCATCTGTCATGGGCATCAGTCTTCGGTTACGAGGATGATGCCAGATAGACTGCTGGATGAGGGCCGCGCCATGCCGTGTGTGCAGTGGGGAGGATAATTGACCATACTTCACCACGCGAGATCAGGGCAGGTTGACAAGGGCGGAGAGCATAGAGGTGGGAGCATAGAAGCACACGCCAGCAAATGCATATTGCTGCATGGCTGTCTTGTGCCCACAACGTAACCCCGCAATCTAGAACATTCTGCTCTCGGTGGTGGTCACCTATCCAAGGCTATACAAGTTCGACTCTTACTTGGCTTCCGAGATCTGATGAGATCGGGCTCGTTCCGCGTGATTTGCTCACAGGCACTGGTCCACGATTCATCTCCAATTTGCCAGTGATAGGGATTGAAGCGAGTGGCCCTAGTGATTGATGAGCCACACTGTGGTTGGATTTCACCCCAAAAGTAGCATAACTCGTAAAACGGCGGTAATTAGTTTGTTTTGGTCTGTCTCCCACGTATGTATGTTGAACTGCTTTCACATCGTACGGAGCCAACCGTGCTCATCGGAGGTGTGGCGGAAGAGGTGGAATATATAAACTTTCCCCACCCTTTCACCTGCCGCACAGGGACATGCAGAACCGGCCCTAGACCTTTGGGGGCCCTAAGCAAAATTTGGTTGGAGGCCCCTTTGATGTATGATTTTTTTCACCCACTAGCTCGCAGTGACTCTAGGGGGGCCCTCTGCTGGCCACGGGGCCCTTTGCAATTGCAAGGGTCGCTTAGTGGCTGGGCCAGCTCTGGGGAGATGGGTTCGAACCGGCGACCTTTGGATTGCAAGTCCGGCGTGCTCACCGCTACACTAGGCCATCTCAATAACTCGCATATAATTTGCTGAAATTGTAAATAGTCGATCCTCGCACGCACAAATTGTTGGCCGTGTGGGAATCAATAACAATTTATCATTCGATGACCAAACAGAGGCGCAGACGCGTCATCTCACTCGTATATCGATCTGTCTTTCCACGCAAAAAAAGTAAACGTCATTTCTGACACAACCCATCGGTCTAATCGTAGCTGTAGGAGCAAATATTATCAGCGGGACTGATACAGCACAAACTCGACATCCACATACAGCGTCTCATCAGCAGAAACCAGTCCAGCCTGAATAGACGCATCATCCATGCTCAGTGGTGAAAGCCCTCATTAACGCTGGCTCAGCAGCACCATCCGCAGGGCACAGGGTGACAAGCGCATACTCGTTACTGAGCTGTTTCAAACCGCTTCTTCGCACTTAAAGGTCCACCGACTTGAGTTGGACGGGTGCCTCAGAAGTCGGAGATCTGAGCGAGTATCGCTGGAACTTGGCTTCTAATCCGGAAATAATTAACTAAATTAACTTCAATTTTTTTTTATATTTACCAGGTAAAACCCCCTAATCTATATAGCTCTTTTTCAGGAATGACCTGGTCACAAATTATAGCTCAACGAAGTGGCTAATCACGTGGGAATGTAGAGCGGCCAAATACTCCAAACGCATAATTCTAAATGTGGCGGGAAAAACCGGAGTACCCGGAGAAAAATCCACACGACCACAGGGGGAACATGGAAACTCTAAAAATACACACGTCAGGGTCGGGATCGGGATCGAACTCACGACCTCACCACCACGAGATTAAGTAAGATTCCCAAATGCAGTGAGTTTACGGTCACAGCCTGGTCGCCGATAACTACTTCAAGGTTTGCCTTTGATATGGCTAAATTCCAACTCTGAGAAGCAAAAATATGATATTGGTTAGACCGTCATGTGACAATATTTGATGAGAATGGGTGTGAAAGTGCGCCCCCTACTGTGCAAATGCTAAAAAAAGACACGAAGGATTTTTCTGAAATTCCTGTGAAAAATCTTTTTTTGCGGACTGTTTTCGGATACATAGGGTAGGCTATATGACACAGTTCCGAAATTATCCTTCATCTCCTGACGTGACACAATAGCACAGTTGAAACTTGGAAAAAAGACCAACAAATAGCGTAAACAGTTGACTGACTTATAGCCTGGTATGGCGGTGACACTGCAATCCAGAGACTAGGAGGCAGGATTGGTGGAGCAAATATGTAGCTATAAGGTGTGAGACTCCTAGCCACCGGGACATGAGTAGGTAACCGTAGTCTGATTGCTTTTTAAATCCTTTAAATTAAGTTCACTTGCTTGCGCGCTTACGACCGTGCAAATCTTTCGGTCGTTTTTTAACCCACTTCCCGTGATCCAATCGAGCTGACATTTTGCACACAGACTCGTTGTGCGTGACAATTTATTTTTGTGAATTTTTTTTCTCCAAAATTTTACACTTTTTAGGAAAAAATAAATTATATTTAATTACCAATTGCTTAATGGTGGTAGGCAATCATCTGACCCATAGGTGGCAGCCATCTCAAGCCAGAGGACGAGAGGACTCTAGCCGCCACGCATATAAAGGATTTATAGTGAAAAACTTTTGTTTTTATGGGTTAATTTTTTCTTCGCAAGCATGGGTTTCCTGCAGACACTCTGATTTCCTATCACGTGTAAAATTGCTCATAATCTGGCCTAACACTCCTCGAAAAACCCTCCTGAATGAGTCTTGAGACTAAATCTTTTTTTTAAATCTCCAGTTAGGCAAATACATTACTGGTGTCTTACCGGTGGCTTTTGCTTGGCTAAACATTCTCAAAAAATGTAAGCACAAAGGTTTTAACGTGAATTATGGGGTATATTTAACAAGGGCCAGCAGAGGGCCTCAAACGTCCACACTGAGCAATCGTTACACATTACAGAACGTGGGGGATTGCTGCCTTTCACTCCACGGTTTACATTTATTGCCTAAACCCAGGCACTCTCTTGTTTTAACAGTCACTAGGGGCTTGGGTACAACACGTTATGAGAAGAGATGATAATGGCCGGTCGTCGAGACACATGACTGAGTAGCAGCCAAGGGAGAGAACGCGCCCAACGCCACTAGATATGGAGCGATTAAATCAACTCGTGTGCAGGTGCCAGACGCATTGTTGCATCGCAAAACCGTGAGTGATGGCAAAGGCTTCGTGAGCCCTTCATCCAGCAGTGGATCGATCATGGTTGATAATGATCACCCTCATGACTGATGCTAGCGGAAAGATAATATTGCTTTTAACATGTATGTTTAATGGTGAAATGTATTGCTTTTTACATGTATATTTAATGGTGAAATTTAAGTAGTAATGTGTGTGCTGGTTGGAATTCAGGTTCAAGACGAGAGAGTGGTTACAATTTTGGGTTCTTGAGGTAACCGAGTGACTCGGACAACACTTAGCCAGCAATTTTGAAAAATCCTGGATTTTAATCCGGGTTTCTGCCTGTAGCAGGGTTTTTCGTAAAGTGCAGTGCCCCATAGTGTGTGGATGAGGTTAAATGTCAGGAGGAGATATCAAAGAACTACTACTGATATTCTACCTCATTTATCCACGCTCTTTAACACACGTGCTTATGTGCTGAATAGATTGTTGTATTCATAACACCAAGAGTACATCTGGAATAGCATTGGGGGGGGGGGGGGGGGGAAAGACCAAAAAGACATTCTGTGAACCTGCGCGACAACAGTTCACACTCGTATTAAATAAAATGATTCAAATGAAACACGTCCTCCACCGCAGAACATAATGTGCCGGACACACTGCCTCTGTGATTTGGCTCTTCCCCCTCCTCCCCCCAGGATCCCACCTCCCCACAGTAACTGCGCTTCACTGCGCCTCTACATCTCCCATTACACATAAGTAACCGCGCGCATACAATTGTTCCACCGAGCCAAGGAAAGACTGGCGGAAGGGAATGTTCCAGGCAGTGAAAATCACTCGTGAGCCTAATATTCGCTGTTGCTATTATATGTGCCCCTGCATCGATCCTCCTAAAACATTACAGCCCACGCGACGATTCTTACGATGACCCGAGCCTCAGCGCGGAAAATAGTTACCCCAGGAGTGATGGAAATTTCATTGTAATATCCATGTTCATCTGCTTGTTACCACATCGACAAAATGAGTTATTTATCACTGATAAACACGGATTATAAGATCCGCCCTTGAACCCTCCCACATAAAATCTGAGAAAAGGATTTTCACTGTGTGCCAAATGTGAACATTTGACAATGTCAATCGCTGAATTCGTATTGGCTACTGGTGCGTCATACGTCAGGGCAGCCCCATGTTTCTGCTGGCTACGCGGACACCAAGAAGATTCTTCGGATTGATGGAAATAACAGTCAATTCGAAATGTATCGATTTGATCAGCTCTCTCACTTAATTTGCCATGCGCTGCACTTAAAACGCGAGTGCAAGTCAAAGTTTAAATTTCCAACTGCAATCATCGCCTTTTACCCTGTGAGGCAAATTCTCGGTGCAGTTGCCAAACAAGCGTGGGTAATTCTGGTGAGGTTCTGGCGAGGTTACGGCGTTCCGTGGCCATGAGCCGAAATCCGTTCCTGGCCTCTGCTATGAAGGTCTCCCACCAATCGATGGGACGCAGCGATAACCAATTACCATCGATCACCGAAACCCGCATCGGGGCCGATCGACACAGCCCAGGAGTGGAGCATAACTCGGAAAGGGGAGTGATGTTGTTTTGTTCATGCAGCCCTCCAGTGAGGATAGTATCGACTGCCCCTTATACAAATACACATGCAGCCCTTTTGTAAATCAACTGCTGGGCGATGATCTCCAAATTCCGTGCAGGCAGTGGGGATTTTATGGCCATACTTCACCGCTCGTGTCGGTGTGGGTGGGTGAAGGCGGGGAGCGTAGACAAGACAGAATCACAGTAAAACAATGGATGTTGCTACACTGCCCTCTGCTGACAACTGAGTCGCGCGGCAGCCCAGTCAAGCACGATGCAGGCTCAACGCCGCTTCGCTTCCAAAATCTGATGAGATCGGGCGCAGTGCACGTGATTCGGTCGTAGGCCGTATATCCATCCATCGGTGTCAGCTCCGAGTTTGGAGGTTCGATGGTAAATGCGTGCCAGCACTTTCACTCTTGACACAAGCTCCCGCGACGATGCTCCCCACTCCCCGATCTCACCATCCCACCAGCCTCGCGTAAACACTGCGGGGAGAGCGTATTGAACAGAGCGGCGGGCACAGGAAACAAACCCGACCTGGGTCGTCCTCCTCGAGCTGGTCCTCCAGCAAGGTTGGGTTGACCCCGACCTCCAGACACTTCTTGCTGTGAGCTTTGGACTTCATGTGCTTCGTGAGATTCCCTGTCGCACAAGTGGGAGAAGCACACGAGGCACCGCGACTCCGTAAGGGATTGCTCACGGTGCTTTGCACACACAGGAGGCGACCGGGCAAGCACCCATCTCTTCTGTCTCTCTCGTCTGCTGAGCCAAAAGCCAGTCTCGTCTGAGGTGCCACGGTGGTGAGATGTTAAATACCTTGCCTGGTATACAGGAGATCTCTGAAAAAGAGCCATACAGCTCAGTGGGCCTTACCTGGTAAAATAAAAAGTAGTTTAGTTTTAGTTTTTAAAAGTGCGCTCAGCATATCAGAATTTCACAAGCATAGCAAACCCACGTCATCGTCACTGATATTTCTGTGGCGAGCTCACATCCCACGTCCAAGTGGCTGTGTAAACTGCGGGAAGCGATGCATTAATCGTGTACTGGCATGTGCATCGGGACTGTATTTCTTATGTTTAAGTATATCCCCCCCCCCCACTCCACAACACATTCCAATTGTGCAACCGATGTCATGAGATGAAGATTTAAAAGTCAGAAACCTACGCGCCACGCCAACACGGACCGATTATTTACAACGTTGCGTCGGCGCTTTCATTCATAAATGCCGTCCATTATTAATGCGCTGTCAGCGTGCGCCATCGTCAATTTCAATTTGGCCTCGCGTCCGCCACGCGGCAACTCGCCCGTCACCCTTCACTTGTTGCTGCGAAATAAACCGCCGGGGGAAGAGGCGCAATCGCTGGGATTGTTTTGGCACGCACCGCGGTCAGCAAATGCGGCGTTCAGCAAGTATGAATGATTTACTCCGATTCTAAGACCTGCGACGGAATTTCGAAACGGTGCGGCCAAGAACTCGTTGTACCTACACCGTGTTTTTCTTCACACCCTCCTCGGCGGTTGTTAAGGAGAGCGGACGGCACGGTGCCAATTGAAACGGTGCAAGGGCATGGCACGCCGTTTCCCCTTTTTTTCCCCCCACACTGTTGTGTAGCCTCACCTGCGGGGGCTGCGATAAACAGCGCAGGTTTGCGGCGTTAAACGGCTTTGGCACAAAGCGGACGTGGCCTCGTTAGCAAATTGTTCTTGCGTCGTGCGAGTCTCTGTTAAGTGATCGCGACTTACAAGACGAAGCGTCGTTCCTCGCGCACGCCATACACGTGCATCAGAATGCTGGGGCGACAGTTGGCATGTATATGCAGCCAGAAGCATGTTACCCAGCTGCACGTTGCAGCATTTCCCATTTCCAAAGTACATCGTGTATTCTCGAAGGAGAGATTTAATCTAAGCAGCTATCTCGCCTATGACCAAATGAGCCCGAATTTGCCCAATCTCACGAGATCTCAGATCCAGCCAGGATGGACGACCACCAGGGCTTAGCAGGTGTCCTAGGTGTGGGGCTGCGAGGTGTGTCCAGCAGATGGCAGTGCTGAACCTCACCCCCTCGTACACGCACAGCGTGGTTTTTCCGGGCACTCCCAAATGCAGCCAAATTAAGCTAAACAACTCAATAATGGTATTAGTGGTAATGGAAAACTGCCTGGGGATATGTTGTGTTGTTTAGATGCAAATTTCTCACTTTAACATCACTAGCCCCGCCCACTTCGTTTATGACCCTTGGGCTACACCCATTTGAAACCTCTAAAACAGCCTGCCTCAGCAGCTTTCCCACTCTTTTTTTCTCCTGATGACGATTGCTTGTGTTGCGATCGAAACGTCGTAGTTTTTCGTAAAACAAAAATGTGTTCCACGTGACTTTACCGAAAGACCCAAAGGATATGAACTCCTGCAGTCGCGAAAGCTTTAAGTCAAGATTGTGCAGTAAGTTTAGTGGCCAGGTGGTGCCAGTCATCATTATTGCAAGTGTTGCCCAGGATTGCTGAGTTTTCTTTTTGTTCCCATTGTTTGTTTTTCATAACGAGTTTGTACATCACTGCAATGTACTTTATTCATGATACCCCAGGTCCCCTTTGCCACGAGTGGACTTTGTGTCACTGCACTCTCACTCAGTTCCAGATAACCCGACTCCACAGTGCGGGATTATAGTCGTAGGAGTAGACATGCTCTGGATTGTCACACATCTCCTTTCGCTAACCCAGTGCATGTGTTTGGGGAGTGGTGGCGCAATGGTTTGTATACACTGCGCTGGTATTAGTGGTAATGGAAGGCTCAGTCCTTTGTTATGTAGACTAGCCGTAGTTTCAGCCGCACCAACCTCACCATAATAATAAAAAGGGGGCCTGTCCTGGCTCCTCCCCCCCCTCAACCAGTATATATATACGGGGTAGGATCTCTTGGAATTTCTCATTTACTTGATACAGCAAGCGTGCTGTGACGGTTCCACCTGAAGATGGAAGCTTGCGTTGCCTCCGAAACGTCGTGATTTTTATTTTATTTTATTTTACTTTTATTAATTAAAATTTTTTACCTGCGTGGCTTTACCGAAAAAACCCAAGAATATGAATCCTTGCAGTCACGAAAGCTTCAAATCTAGAATACACTACGCTCTCAACTGGGTGACCCGAGTTCAATTCCAGGCCAGTGGCGAGTGATATCTGAACTGGTCCTGGGCTTTCCCGCGTCATTACCAACCCCCAGCACTGGCCAAGTCTCGACACACAACCCCCACGACCAACATGCCACATGGGGAAGCCCGAAATCATCCAGCAATATATTTACATGGGGCTGTAAAATAATAACTTACTGTACGTGAATTTAAATTCCAAATTAATTTTTCTACGTTTTGAGACTCAACCTATAACTCCTCTAGTCAACGCTGCCAGAGTCAAGACGCAAATGGGTCTCAGTGCTCGCGTGAGTGAGGATTGGGGGACGTGGTGCTCACTTCCATCGATGGCTTACACGCCCGGCTTTACCAACTTACAATGAGCAGCATGGTGAAGTATGGTCAAGCAACTCCTATGAGTGACACCGAATAGGGAGTCCTTCATTTAGCACTGGCGAGACAGCAATTTTACTTCTTATTATTTTGTATGGATTTATTTGCAGAGGAGGCAAGTCAGGTTTTGGTTAATCGTGAGAGATACATGCTGAGGGAAGGGTGACGCTCTGTGCTGGTGGTTTCCCAGCCGGAGGGGAAGAGAAAAACCGACCCAACGTGAGAGGGAGGAGAGAGTCAGGCACTAGAAACGCCGCCAATGCGACAAGAAAATTCAATATACATGAAAGCCAAACTCGAATTGTCTCTCTGCGATAACGAGCGGTGGAGTAGCACTCGCCTCCATTCAATTGGCAATCCTCAGCAAGCAGTGGCAAATCCGCATTGCTATGGCAGGGGATAGTAGATCTGTTGGATGAATGCCGAATCGAACGACCACCCCCCGTTCTACTTCAACATGCTTTGCGAATTGGAAACTGCCAGAAGTGCCACTCAGCCAGATAAAACAAACAACAGCATGAACTCGCATGCAAATGCATGTGCATGCTTTAGATGATCAAAATCTGTTTGCTTTTCCCCCCGGGTCTGCCTGGGGAGGCTCAGGGGTACAGCGAGCGGCATGCGTCGCAAGGTTGGAAGTTCAAATCCCGGTCGGGGTGGGACTCAGCTCATAATCCCCTTTGGGGTGAATGAAATAAGTGCCGCTTTTTTGGAAAGATAACTGTTATAGTTGTTTTATGGATTGCCCCGGATAGGCTTTGCACCCAGCCTTTGGAGTGTCATTTTCACCACTGGCTCAGGGCTGTGGACAGGAGATGAGCAACATTCCAGCTGAACTCAGTAGAAAAACCACCGGTTTCTTTACAGAGCTGGATTGTCTCCACGAGCCCTCAGTGTAGCGAGTTGCTGAGCGCCGTCGGTCAACTTGTATCTATATATGTACACACACGCACCCCAGCACAGGCTTTTGGCTAGCCATGGAACAAAGACGGTCACTGCATCGCGTGCTTTTAGACGCGCGTCTGTGGCCGTCTGGAACGCTCCTCCTTCCGCTATTAGGAAGCCACTGGGGCTGTGCACATTTGACTCTGGATTGAAAACTATAATTTCTTTGGAACTGCTGTTTTTGTGTTCAGTAAGTTGTCCTTCCCCGCACCTACGATTAGCACGGTTGGCTACGTACGGTGCGGAAGAAGTTCAACATACATGCGTAGAGACAGAACTGTACTTGAAACGCGGTGTCTGCTTAACGCGATGGACTATTGTGCACTTGAACCTTTGACTCACGAGCGATGATATTTAAGGCTGCAGACGTAAAACACAATAGGCGCCTCGCAGCCGTGCGATTATTTTAGAGTAAATCCGACTCGCCGCGCTCGTCGCGACCAAAATAGAATCGGAGGCTTCAATCCGAGGGGAAAAAACGTCCGCCACCCAGTCAGTTCCGTGGGGCACAGCTCCCATCCCGGGAGAATGGAATGTGTGTGTGTAGGTGTAGGCTGCTGTGTGATGGTGTCAATCCGCTGCTGGATGAGGGCCACCCCCCCCCCCCCCCGCCGTGCGGGTCGTGGGGGTTATTTTACCAAATGTCACCACGCTGGTCAGCGTGGATTCGTCAAGGTGGGCAGCGTAGGTGTGGGAGCGTATACGCACAGAACAACAATGGATATTGCCACACCGCCCTCTGCTGCCCACAGCGTAGTCCCAGAGTAGCCAGGTCATAAACGGTGGTGGCCCATTCCATAATTGTCCAGGCTCAATACCTGCATTCGCTTCTGAGCTCTGACCAGATCGGGCACATTATGGGTCATTTGGTCATATGTTATGCAGCAAGGCTTGATTTCTCAATGCATATTTTCCAGGCTACTGGAAGATCAGCAGGTGGCATGTGATGAGTATCCACAGCCAGAGAGAGAGAGAGACGTACCGTGCGTTGTGTGTACACCAGGCACAGAAACTCTTTCTGGGTCGGTGACCTGGACAGACCTGGCTGAAATTAAGCCACTGGCCATTGGTCATAAAATAACTAAACTCAATGCAAATCACCAGCATGCTGCCTAGCAGACCCGTTAGTAAGATTGATGAATGAGATTGAGAGGTTTGCATTGGCCCGTTGAGCTACAGGAATCCACCACGGTCTGGGGTCCTCCGATATCGACGTCAATAGCGAACGCCTGCGGAAATGTCGCAGGTGGTGGCAGGAATCGAACCGTCGAACCTGGCGCTAAAGCGGCCGTCAAAAAAATGATTTGGCGAGCGGTTGGAAGAGACGGCTTTGCTCGGGTGGCCTGGTGCCAGCCGGGTGAGGGTTGCAGGTGTGAGCGTGGAACGTGGCACGGGGAAGGGGGGTGGGGGGAGCTGCTGGCGTGGCAGCATGGCTGACGGAAAGCAGAGCGGCCTGCACGAGCCAACATTCGAATCGCGGCATGCACCGCATTTGGGGCTCACTGAATGCAGGCTTTTAAAAAGGAGTTTGGCTGGAAATCGGATGCTGTGGGTTAGGGTGTGTATAACATGCGTGCATGTGTGCGTACTCACACACGTGCGGTGAGTGAGTGCGATGTGTAACCACCCCCCAGCGGGCAAAGTTCAATTCCTGATCTTGATGCACAACAGCAGTGGCAAATGGAATGTGGAATTTAGTCTGGGTCTCACCGACGTCAACTCAGACCAACATCAGCACCGTGGAGACGTAAGCGGCCGAGTGCCAACCCCATGAGTGTGGTGCCAGCCCTAATCATCATCATCATGATAAGCCATTGACCTGAATGAAGGACTCGATGCAACAATCCATCTAGATCCTGCAAATTAGTTCATTTCATCGTTCCATCTACGCAGCAGAAATCCTCTCTGGTGTGTTCCCTCCTTTGACTGCCACTCCATCATTAGTCTCGACCACCAGCCACCAACCCCTGCGATGTAACAATCCTTCGAGAGCACTCAAAAGCGTAGATTTACGCAGCCTACACAATGATTCATTTTTGGATTGGGCCACGAAATCCTTCTAGCCAAATTGATATATTGTAACGCTCCTCCACCCGATATTGGCAAATAACATTGTCACGTTATGTACGAGAATGTATTATAGTTTCAGTTCACAGGAACATTGAAGAACAATCCTCACAACCAAATTTAGCAATTAAGATACACCACGTTTTTCTTTCACTAGGGCAGGGGGGTTTCAAGACACAAATTTGGCCAGATCACTACGTGGCCTCACCCAAATTAAATTCCGACTCAACCCACCTGGAAACCTGCAAGTGAGCCGATTATATCATCATCCCATCTCTGCGGTGGAAATACTTTCAGGCAAGTTCCTTCCTTTGGCTGCCACTCCATTTACATCGTATTCTTGTTATTTTTAATTATCACTTAATTATCACTGACACATTCGTGGCAACGGGCACTCTGCCACCAGAAGGCCGCGGCCGGGCCCTGCTTGCTGCGTGCTGCGTGCTGCTTGCTGCGTGCTGCGTGCTGCGTGCTGCGTGCTGCGTGCTGCGTGCTGCGTGCTGCGTGCTGCGTGCTGCGTGCTGCGTGCTGCGTGCTGCGTGCTGCGTGCTGCGTGCTGCGTGCTGCTTGCTGCGTGCTGCGTGCTGCGTGCTGCGTACCTTTGGTCTTGAAGGCGAAACAGCAGACGCGGCAGGAGTAGGGCCGCAGGTCCGTGTGCGTGCGGATGTGCTTGCGCAGCATGCTGGGCTTCTTGCAGCGGATGCCGCACTCCTCGCACACGTACTTGCCTCGCCCGCGGCCGCGCACGTACACATACTCCTCGTTTGACTTGTACCTACAGTGGTGGGGTGCGTGGGGTGCCGGACAGGCGGATACACGTGAGAGAAGAAAATCAGAGGGGTCCTGGGATAAAAAAAACTTGTTCGCCAGAGCTGGGCTATTCTCTCCCGACTGTCGCTTTGATGACTCAGCCCAACTGGATGACGTAAAAATGAAATCCATAACATGCGTTGCTGCTGGAGGGGAGTTGGTGGGCAGGCCTTGGTGACATAATCATTAGCGCATCACGTGGCTGAGAGGGATTTCGTGCTTTTCGCGGAAGATGTCCGGGCAGCTACCATTTACAAAGTGACTGAGTAATTGACCACAAAAAGTAGCCGATAATCGTTTTAAGTCGAGTAATCGACAAGTCGCCCCAGCTCTCCTGATAACCCCACACACGATCTCATTGACGGAGGGGATGACGAAAGGTAAATCGGTAAAATCATTGTGCGTCCATCTGTGAGGAGATGTCAATCAAAATTGGATTGTGAAGTGTTCGAAGGAAGCTGGCATGGGTTACCTTATAAGTATATTATGAGGCTTATCCAGGACATCCCTCAATTGACGGGCGCGTGTACCGTACGCTGACGTTACGCGACAAAGGAAGGAACTCGCATGACCGCACGTCCACCGTGGAGCAATGGAATCGGCTCGTGTGCAAGTCTCTAAATGGACTGTTAAATCGCAGGACTGTACGAGAGGGCGGTGGCTTGGGGGAGGCCTTCAATCAGCAGTCGATTGACCATTGCCGATGATGAATGTGATGACGATGAACATGATGACGGATGAGTTGTCGAGTAAAAGAAGCACGTTCCAAAGTCAACCTAGCCAACGTGCTGAACGCAGCGTCCTTACCCTCCCTTGAATATGCGGATGCGGTTGGGCTTAGGCCTGGGTCTCGTGGGGTCGCAGGCCTCCGCGGCGGCATCTCCAGCCTCCCGCGCACCGCCAGGCGTTGTCGCCGCCGCCACCGGTTCCACAGGGCCCTCGGGGGCAGCCGGGATCTCGACTTCGCCGACCCCGCCGACCCCGCCGACCCCGTCGACCCCTGCCGACCCCGCCGACCCCGCTGACCCCGCCGACCCCGCTTTCCCGGGAGTCAACCTGGAAAACGAGGGTGGCGACTGAATGCGTCACCGCCATTGTCTCCATCGTCAACATGGTTTGAGACGTTGAGCCTCAAGGCCACAATACACCACGGGATAAATTCAGGGCAGTGTTTGCCAGCAAATGTAACTGGCAATAGTTGCCGCACCGTTGTCAATTGTAAATAAAATATATTCCCCAAAGTCTGGATAAATCTGACTGCTGCTTGCCGACAGTGGGCAACTGGGATGGTGAATTGCAATCAGATCATATACAGAGGTCAAATAACTACCCAGAGTTGTGCGCTCTGTGGCCCCATCTCTGTAATCCTCACTGACCTTTCAAAAAATGTTATTTTCATTGGCTGGGCACAAATCCACCACTCTACACGACTGACGGACCAAGTTGCCAAAATCGTTCCTCAACAATGCTTTGCTGGTGGCAACCACCCTAGATTTGCTCTGGTGCATAATAGCATTTAACATGTACGATATCTTTAACATGGTAATCACTTGGACTGTAAAGAAGCATTTCGAGGGAGAGCTAGTGGTGTGCGTAGAGACCACTGTGGTCGATACACGCAAGTCTGCAGGGAACTACAAATTTGGATTAGGGCCAAGCAGGGCCAGGGGGCAGGGCCAAGGGGCAGGGCTAATTACGCTATAACTGTGCGTGATGTCAGTCGGTACACACTGAGGACACAGTGTTACCGCATCATCTACACACGTCTCCACCATTCATTACGTGTGGTGTCCGTGGCACGGCTCGGCTTCTGCAGCGGAAAAAAAATAACCTTGTGCCTCTTGAACTGTGCTGGGCTGTACAGTGGAAAAAAAAAGTATAAGGGTTCAGTATCGATGCTCAAGATTAAGGCAAGGCTTGGGCTCCCTTAGGATTCTTATACTCCTTTTACACGAACACATCTCAGCTTACCAAGTGCTGGGCCCCTCCTGGTCCACTCATGGATTTTTCACTGTCAAATTTCCACTGCTGAGCCAGAAGCATGCGCTGACCACAAATGACATCAGAGCAAAGTAGCTTCGCTCTCCCATCTGATGTGCCCTTCAAACTCCGATGTTTTCTCCCCATAAGCCAAAACGGAATAATCCAAAGAAAAACTCTAAATTTTACTGCCCTTTATCAATCCACTGTTGGATGAGGAAACCCCACCCCCCTCCAAGCCACGTCATCACGGGGCTGTTTAGCCATACTTATGCTGGGAGGGTCAGGACCGGCTAGGATGTCGCTCGCTGCTGATATTAGCCGTGGCCGGTAATAAAACACCGGCCACCAGGTTAATAGCATGGTGTCCCCAACCACTGCGCTACCGCAAGTAACACTGCTCAGGTACAACGAATTGTACGCGATGCGCACATATTGGTTGGGGCTATTTCTGAAATTTGCGCTGCGTTCAAGAAATGAAATGGCATGAAAATAGACTGCTGTTTATTTTTTATGTTGTGGAAGCAGATTAAAGAACATGAGGTGGTGACTTTATGTGCCAGTACAAGGCTGGCTGCATTTACATTCTCCTCTCTGCAGTGTTAGCCGCCATATTATGCAGATAAGACGTCAAAACATCCAATCTTACAATTCCAGGAATCATTGGCAGAGAGCTAATAACGCACGATGCATTTTTACAATGTTGGCAGGAATGTTACCTTAAATTAAATATACTCCACTTAATGCTAGCTTCCCCACACGTTTAATCATTCACTTAATCCCAGCTAATACATCACAGAAATTTAAAATTAGTGCAACGTGGTCTGGCATTGGGTCGCTTTGTGCCAGGCTCTTGAAATTGAAAATAATACGGGAATTTAACATTCTTTCAGTGCTAAAAATGAAAGATGAAAGTTGAAAAATAAATACGGAAACATGTGCTGCTGGCAGTGAAGGGCAAGTACCTTAGCCAACCTTGGCTTCCACTGGCTGGACTGCACCATCTGGTCATCCCGTGCAGGGGTAATCATCGTGCTCGTGTAGATGGACATAGGTGGTCCTCTGCCGTGAACACAGGAGGCCCAGCGCGGCCTTGGTGGACAGGCCTAGGGGATTGCAGCTGCCTCTGTGGTCCAAGTCACGCCCCCAGGAGGCGTAGACCGACTCCGTGTTCTTATCCTGCGGCACGGGGCTCGGCCGGCAGTTCACCAAGAAGCACCAGGTGACGGTCGTGGTGGGCTGGAGATTTGGAACATCCCGTGCTTCCGCTGAGACTGCCTGCTCTCGGCCAATCTCCTGCATGCACAGACTCGTCGACACCTCAGTTGCGGTGCCGGCCAAGTCCGAGATGACAATTTCTATCGGCGGCGTGGACTTTGGAGGGGAACACTTTCCAGGGAGGAGGTCGTCATAGGCAGGGTCTGGGGCAGGTGGCATGTTGCTCGTGAAGCGCACGGATGGCAGAACTTGCGTTGAAATGCTCGGCTTGTACTCCTTGTCCACTTCCTCTCCTTGAGTCACCTGCTCCAGCACGACAGTGACTTCTAGTTTGGAAAAGGAGTCGGTGGATGCTAAACTGCGGGTGGAGCTCACGGGAGTGGTGGACCTGCTCTCCAAAGTCTCGGTGGTGCAGTGCTGTCTCAACAACGTGGGCGGCCTTGACCTGACGGGTGAAGATGCTTTGACCCTCTCTGGCTCGGATGCCCGCTCAATGCCCTCCTCCGAGCCGACGGAATGGTCTTCTTCCTTGGCCCGCTTCTGGTTTTGTCCACGGATTTCCATGGCGATTTCAAAGCTGCTCGCGGGTGACAGCATGCGCTTGCCAGCCACGGGCAGAGGCATTTCGGACACGCCCTCCAGCCCGGACACCGGCAGCGATGACAGCTGCATCTTCTCACTCAAAAGCTGGTGCGACGGTGAGGCGGGTGAAGCTGGCGTGATGGGAGACACGTGAGGGCTTGCTGTCGCACGGCCGGTTCTGGGTCGAGGGCCCAAGGCACCCAACACGAGCTGTCTATTGTTCCACTGGCAGATGACGACTGGCTGAGGTCTGCTTTGGGCTTGGGTGACCAGCATCTGTGAGAGGGTGGTGTACATGCTGTAGCTGTACGAAGGAAACGGAGTCTGGATCTTCACCGGAACCATGAGGGAAGTTACTGGCGTCAGAAGTCTCGGATGTTCGGTTGCGACTATCGTTTGTGACATCCGCGGTAGGTGCAGCGGGTGCAGGGGTGTGAAGCCGCGCCCCAAAGCGGCCCGGAAGAGTGGGCCTCCGCTCCCCTTGGTGTCCGAGAGCTCTCGCGGAACTAACGCGTGCTGCGCGAATGGCGGCGGTGCAGGGATGATGAATGGCACGTTCGTCTGCACCGCTATTTGCGGCACGTGGAACCGGGGCACGCCGAGCTGCTGGAAGGGCAGCTGGAGGTGAGGCAACGTGCTCAGGCCCTGCACGACGGGGATTTTCAGCGGGCAGCCGTAGACTCGCTGAAGCGGCGGCGGGCTCGGCGCCTGCGGGATCTGGAAATGCAGCGGCAGTTGGTGTCGGTGCAGCGGCATAGCCGGAAGGGAGAGTGGTATGTGCAGGTGGGAAAGGGAGTAGACGGGCTGCAGCGTACCCACGGCGGGTAGGTGGCCCAGGGCGCCGCTGATCAATATAGGAGCCGGTGGAGGTGGAACAAACATCCGCTGCGCAGGCGGCGACTGTGCGTCTCGACGAGACGCCGAGGGCTTTGGAGACGCACTCTGCTCGGGTGTCCGGGGAGACATCCCGGTCGAAGACGTTCTCTGCACGTGCTGCTGCTTTGTGTCCGAAGCTTCGCTTAGCCACGACGGCCGAGAAGACGTCTCGCCCTGAGGCGGGGCCGGTTCAGGGCTGTCCGGGCTTCCGCTTAAAGACGCCTGACGGACCAAGATTCCTCTTCGCCTTGACGTGCCAATCGCCGCTGTCGACGTGACCACTGGCGCCGTCGGCGCAGGATGCTGCGTTCCGCTGCCGTAGTCCAGCGACTTGCTACGGGTTTCGGACAGCTGCACCGGCTTCTCCGGGGCGGGCCCTTGCTCCGAGGATGAGCGGCACATCTCCTTGACTTCACGGCGGTGGTGCGCGCTGGGCACGGTGAGGAACTCGGATGGTTTGCTGGCGGCGGCGACGGTGGCACCGGCAGCGACGTTGGCAGCAACGGCGCTTTGTGCTTTGGTGGCCGTGTCGTCTCGCTCGAAGGATGCGGAGAAGCTGGAGCCGCGCGAGATGCTGCTCGACTCGCCGCTCATGCTGCGCGACAGCGACGATGACTCGGTGCTCGACTCGTTGGAGGAGTGCTGCAGGTCGGCCAGGCGCAGGCGCTTCTTCTTCGGGGGCAGCTTCTCGGCGGGGAGCTTCGACAGCGTCTCGCTCCTCTGCGGCCACTGGAACTCCTGGGCCGCCTTCTCCTGCTCCTTCCTCGCGACCTCTGTCGGGTCTTTGTCCGTGTCCTCCGTCACGAGTATCTCTGGCACCAGGAGGGTGGTCTGCCGTACTGGCTGCTGCTGCTGTTGCTGCTGATAAGGCACTGAAAATGTAATACCCTGTGTTTCTGCGCCCTCCGCCCTCTCATACTGGCCCGTCGCACTTTCCTTGAGTAAAGACACGCCACTCGATTGTGTCGTCGGCTCCCCCTCGCCTTGCGTCGCTTCCACCGACTCCGCCCTCTCGAAGGAGCTGGGTCGGCTCAGAGACTTTGTATGCTGAATCACAGAAATCTCCTTGCTGCCGGTCCGCGTCACGGCCGGCGCCGCCTTGAGTGCCCTCTCGACGGCCGAGTGAATGTCCTCCCCTCCTCTGCTATGAGGAGCGTGAAACTGAGGAAATGCGATCGCCTCTCTGAGAAGGGTGCCCTTCCGCCGCCGCTACCGTGTACGTCGTGGCCGGGCGGAAGGTCGCAGCCGGTTCGCTCTCTGCAGGGGCGCTACTGAGGCTCGCGGAAGCATAATGTTCCCGTTGGAGGTGTGCAGGCGCAGACGATGATGCAGTAACAGTTTGTTGCCACGATGTCAGAAAGTGTCCGTGCAGCGGCGCCGTGGGCTTTTCCGGTGGAAACTCCTCTTCTTCTCCAGCCGTCTTCTCCTTCCTGCGTTTCCGTACGCCCACAGCGCCCTCCGAAGCCGCCGCGGACACCTTGAAGTGCACCATCTGCGGCTGCATGTCCTGCTGCGGTGTCTCCGACTCGAGCGGCACCTTGGGGGCCATCTGCTTGAGCTTGGGGGCATACAGCTCCGAACAATAAAACTTCTTGTGCACCGCAAAGTTCTCCGCCTTCCTGTAGCGGACGCCGCAGATTTCGCATTCGTACATCGACCCTTTCCGTATCCTCACCTGCAAGAAGGCATCATTCTCCGCGCTCTCCTCCTGAGAGTAGCTCTCCTCCAAGCTTCGATAGCGCCTTGTTAGGGTCTCCCCCAAGGAGCAGCCCCTCTTCCCTTCGTCCATCGACACGGACTTGAGCTCGGAAAATTCTGGCGGCGGCGCCGCATGGCTCTCGCCGGCCAGGGGCACCTCGATGGCCTTCTGCCTCACGAGGGTGCGCTGGTGCCCCGGGTACGGCTGCGCCTTCCCGCGCGGTGGCGTCGCCTCGTCGAAGGAGCGGCTGGAGCGTGACGAGCCTGGCAAGCGCCCAGGTGGCCTCGGCCCGCCCCGCATAGCCGGGGGTCACCGGCGTCGAGTTGCTCCGGTTGAGCGGCGCCGCTTCCGCGCTCCGCCGGGCTGCCTCGGGGCGGATCGAGAAGGCGTGGCTGTGCGGCGGCCTGTGATGCTCGGCGAGGTGGTGCCGCGGGGTCGCGCCCCTCGACGCGTCGGGGTCGCACTCCGGGTGCTGCTTCGAGAAGTCGAAGCTGCCCCTCCGCGACCACGACATGCGGCGCGGCTTCACGCTGTCCAGCTCCTTGTCGTCCATCACTGCCTCGTTGTGCAAAATCAGCCTGGAGATGTGCTCCTCTATGAGCTTCTTCTCCAACGGCAGCTTCCCCTGCCCGGGCCTCGCGACGGTCTCCGCGACGGCGGCGGAAACGTATGCGTCGGTCCCTCTCAGACCGGGAGGCACGTTCTTCCCCAGCACCATCTCCCTGTACGTCATGGCGGGCGCCGCGCTGGGCGGGCTGCCCTGGTGCTCGGCGCTCTCCGAACGAGAGAAGTAGCCCGAGTCCGTGCTGCTTTTGCTCATCGGGCTCAGCAGCTCCAGCGAGGGGTGCGGCGGACACCTGGGCTGCCTCTGGAGGCCCTGCGCTTGGTCACTCTCGAGCCTCTTCCGCTCGGCCAGCTTCAGCGTCCACGCCAACTTCTGCCGCACCGCCTGGTGCTCTCCGGGGTGGCACGTGGTCGGCCGCTCCCTCGTCGCCTCGTACAGCTTGGGGCTCCTGCTGCGCAGCGCGGGTGGCTGCGACGGCACCACCATTCCACGCTCCGGGACCATTCCCGCGGGCTGCAAGCAGGTGGCTGTCGCCAAGGAGCCGACCCACTTTGCCTCTGCTTCTGCGGGATGAGTCGGAGGCACCGCCACGTTTTTGCTCGTCATCGTCGGAGGCTCGGGGCCCATTGATGAGCTCGCTTGGGCCATTTCCTCGAGGCCGCTCTCGTCCTCGCTGTCCGTGGTCTCGTCCCCCTCGGAGCGGCCCTCCTGCTCGTCCACGCTGCCCGACTCGAGGAAGGACCCCTCCCCCTCGTCCCCGCTGGGCCCTGCCCCGGCCTTCATAGCGTGCGCGTGCGACTTGCGATGCTTGTACAGGTTGCTTTTCGTCTTGAAGGAGAAGCCGCAGGGGGCGCAGGGGTACGGCCGCTCGCCGGTGTGGGAGCGGATGTGCTTCTGAAGGACGCTCGGCTTGGCGCACGCCCGCCCGCAGTATGAGCAGATGTACTTGCCTGGCTTCTTAGGCCTCCTCTCCTTGCGCAGCAAGTCGGTGACCTGCTCGCACACGGGCCGGACAGCGGACCCTCCGGGGTGCAAGACGTATGCCTGTGCCGCCGCGGCCACCTCCGTCGACGGTGCGGCATCGCGGGATGCGGCGGGCCGCCGGTAGTAGCCTGCCTGCTCTGCCCCGCAGCTGGGCGGGAGTGTCACGCTGTAGATGTATGGCGCCGGGTGCGGCGGTGGCTGAGGCTGAAGGGGCAGCAGCTGCTGCGAGAGCGCCGGTGGAGAGATGGCGTGAAGTTCGCGGCCGGAAGCGCGATCCAGATCGCCGTGAGATCCCGGCCACCGTTCGCCCTCCAGGCTCTGCGGCTTTGAGATGTCGACGGAGGTGGCTGGGCGATGTGGGGGCCGTGGCTCGAGGCTGCCGACTCTCGTCGTGTGGGCTGGCACTCTCGTGCGAAAAAGTAGCTCGCGCCTGCGATTCGGAAAGGGCGCTGTCTGCGTCGGCGGCTGCAGCGGGCTTGCTGTGCACAAGATTTTGTCCCGGCTCCATGGCTCTCAGCGAGCCTGCCAGGGTGCAGTCGGACACCCAACCCCCCGCAGAATCATCCGCACACGAGACAGCGGCAACTCGAGCTTGTCCGGCGACATCTGGACCGATCCTTGAATCACTTTTGGGCTGCGGAGATTTCGGATTCTTTCCGCTCAACATCTAGGCGTGCCCAAGGAAAACATCGCCCTGTGAGAACCCCGCGTTTTGCCGCGTGCCACATTTAGCTCCGGTTCTGCTCCAGGAATACATCAAAAAATGAAAAGAGTAATTTGCACCATCGAGCCTTCTCGTGTTTCCATGCAGCTGCCCTATTCTTAAAAGCAGCCCCCAGATTCGTATTTTGTGCTTTCGACCGAGCAGAGCCACAGAAGCGCGCGTCCATTCAACAGATCCATCAATCTGGATGTGTAACTGGCGTTCGGAGAAGCTGGTTTTCTTGTTTTTAGGGACGTGTTTGAAGCTCCGTCTATTGCGTTGTAAAGCCTTGTGAAAGTGCCACGTTCATATCCACTCACTCATTCACCTGAAACAACAAATGGCAAAACACATTAATTCACAGAACATAATTACCCTATTTTTCACACTTGTTTTGTTTATACTGAGAAGGTTGCGTAATTATTATTAACGTCAATAGTTGTATCGATGATTGACTTACAACCAAATCACCATTGTGCCCGACCTTGTCAGATCTTAGAAGCCTAACAGAGCAAAGCCTGGTTAAACAGTTGAAATGGATGAACACAAGGGCTTGCCAGATGTTGTGGGCATTGGGCTGCACAGCGACCAGGCGATGGCAGTGCAGAGTGTCACCTTTTCGTACACGGCGTTGCGGGTTGTTGTCCACATTTTCCAGTTTCCTCCGACATGAAGCGAACTACTCATTCAGGGAACTGGCCAAACATCCCAACGCAGGAGCCACCTGAAAGGGAGTCTTGAGACTCGCTGAGTTTTTTTCCGGGTAAATAATTGGAATTGTTAATTTCGGTTGTTGTTGTTGTTGATGTATTCCCCAAAGTATTTTTTAATTATCAAGTTCCCCTTGCAAAAGAGACTTGTCTCAGTGTTCTCCCAACAGGTCATGCATAAAGAAACGATTGTTATTCTATACTATTCAACCATTCATTACATTGCACATTTCAGGTAGATTTTTTTGAAGAGAGTGAAGAAAAAATTACAAACGCACGCATTCACCGCATTTTAAAAGGGCCCTATTTAGTGGTGAGTGGCACCTCGCTGACAAACAGAAATGTGCGGCGTGAACTGAGGCAGTGAAATTGACAGCGCCGGGTTATTCGTCATTTGTAAAAAGGCAAGCGAGACATCGCGGAGCCTCCAGCCGACACGACAAAGAAGCGTTCTAGCACATGCAAAGCGTTCCTTTTCATAAAGTGTAAGGACAGCAAAGGTTCAGCCCCTGCAATTGCCTGCTCACGCCACTTCTGGCCAAACGTCCTCCACCAGAGGCTGCTCTCGAGAGCTGCTACCCTTTTTTACCTCCTCTTCCAGTGCACTGGCCAGGCGTATTGTAAACAAAGGTGGAAGCGCCCACACTTTGCCCCACCACACATGACCTGTGATCGACTAACCACGGTGTACCCACTCACAGTGTATTGCTGGTTGGCCAGAGATAGGTGGTTTAAAATAAACTTACGTCATCATTTCAACTACCACGCAGGGATTATTTAACCCAACTGGCCACTGCAATCGCAGTGAGCCAAGCATTACACCACAGCAGCGTCCCACATCTTTTGTATTTAAACACAAAACCTCCAGTACAATTACACTATTACTGGAACGGATCATGTAAGCAACTGTCTTGTGCATATCACAATTTGCAAGGTGACCATTGCAAAATTATGTCTGTAACTGTGTCAATGTACATATCTTTGTCTATCCACTGCTGCACGAGCACCTCCCCACTCCTTGTGGGTCGTTGGGGCTATTCTAACCTGACTTCACTATTAGTGTTTGTATAAACCACTGTGATGTGTGTTTGTACACCCGGACGCCACCGCACCCAGCTGATCCTATAATCCAAGGAACTTGGCTCGCCCTTAGAAGATCGTGAGTTCAAATCACGGTCAGGGGTCAGCTCAGCTCACCATCCGATGTCCCGCAAAGTACCACTTTGCGGGACATCGGTAAGGGTTTCCCGCCCTATGGGAGACTGAACCCACCATGGTAATATGGAGTTTCTACCACTGGATTATGGCTGCCAATGGAAGGGCAGTGCTTCCCAAAGCTTGTTTGAGCCTGGAGACGAGGTGCGATACCGATATTACGCTTTTGGGATTCTGGATTGGCCTCACTGACTGCCCTTCAAATCCTCATGTCACCCAAACCAAACTCCCCCCCTCCCTAGTCTCAAACTCTTCTGCTCAGTCATCCGTGCTGATGACTACCGGCTGAAAACCTTCCTCTTTTCCTCTGCCTATGACCGACTTCCCTTCTCTACCAAGCTCAAGCCATACTCGATTTGTATGGCATCTTGAAATTCGGTTGCAGTGAAATGTTATCGAATAGCCACGGGCGTGTTGCACAGCAGCACTCACAAAATGCAGCAACTGAACGGACGTTCTATTCCTGCAGGCGAATGCCTCGGACGCATGTCGCCGCGAGTCGAAGACGAGACGCGAATCGACGTGTCGGCGCGTCGTTTAAACCCAGGTTTCAATTTCAGCCGAGTCATGTCCGGGTCAGTGACCCGACAAATATTTCAACTCCCGGCACACCACGTCCATTCTCGTTATCGCTGCGGTAACTTGACGTGCGCCTACTCTGGTCTGCAAGCGACCCGGAAAATATTCCATGAGAAATTAAGTCCTACACTGTCCACCCCCCCCCCACCTCCAGTGTAAAGCATGGGTACTCCAATCTCTTCCAAGATGTTTGGCCTGCGTAGAAAGTAGGCCAAAATATCCTTTCCTGGAGGGGCTCTGTAAAGCTCTCTCTAAGTGGAGGCTGTTCCGCCAGTAATAGCAGAACATAAAAAAAATTACATTCGAAAATCTGTTGTACATTTTTTTTTCAATGTTCAATTCTCCATGTGCTATCGTTTCCTGCTGTCGGAGCCCAGCCATGTGGAATGCTAGGACAGTCCCCGCTGACTCCTTTTCACCCGTATTCCCCATCTCTGCCGAGCTCGAGGAGGCATTTCGGGGCAGAAGGGCTCAGCCAAGCACAGCAGCTGGGCCGGCGGTGCACGAGAGCGTTACGTAACGTGGCGGTGGTGGCCTGCGGGGAAATAAATAAATAAGCAGCTGTGCAACTGCTGGAGGAGATGGGCCTGCAAGGAGAGATTCTTCCTCGTGGGGATTTGACCCTGTCCCCTACCCAAGAAGCAGTGGCGGCTCCTGCAAAATCTCTCAGGGGGGGCAAATGTCTGGATGATTGATAAGGATAAGGTCCACCCATGCAATGGATAAATTAACAGCTTAAGCATGTAAAGGCAACTTCACTTCTTTAATATTAATGAAAAATAAAGTGACTCTTACAATACATATTGTTTGTTTCTATACTCACTATTATTACAATCCACTCAGTTTCTTTTATTAAAGATTCCACTAGGTAGCGACAAATAATATTGTTGACTGAAACGTGCTTACGCATGATGACGTAACCACGTTAGTGCGAGCCCTCCCGGAAGCCATAGAGAATGCATTGCAGCGCCCGCCGTTCGAAAAAAAACATCTTTGAATGTAAGTCTATGGGAACACTCTGGGCGATTCTCAGCCAGAGTGAAATCGCCCAAAAAGAGGCGGTACTCCACAGAACGTGACACGACGCTGATTGGACTATATCCAGAGGCACAGTAACGGCTGAGATTGGTGGTGTGTCGCCCAATCGCCCAAAATGAAGAAACCGCCCCTGCCAAGAAGGTTAATTATATATCACCATCATCAGCCATGATCAGTCGACTGCTGGATGAAGGCCTCCCCAAGTTGCCGCCACTCCTCACGATCACTGTGATGTAATAATTATTGACAAAGCATTCGCATAAGAGCTGGTTTCGTCACTCCATCTCCTTGGTGGACGTGCTCTCGGGCGCACTCCTTTTGCTTGGCTGCCCCTCGTGTCTCACTGTTCTTGACAATCGGCCACCATCCCGAGCCATGATGTGTGCTACAGGGTCGCCGCAGTGGCGAGATGTTAACTCCCTCGCCTGGTATACAGGAGGTCGTGGGTTCAATCCTGACCCTGACGCCTGTTGTATATTTGGAGTTTGCGTGTCTCTCTCCCCGTGGTCGTGTGGATTTTTCTCCAGGTCCTCCGATTTTTCCCCTCCACATTTAGAAACATGTGTTTAGATTATTTGGCTGCTATAAATTTACACATGATAAGCCATTTCGTTGGATTATTATTTGTGGGTAGGTAGCTTCTCACAAAGGGCTATTTAGCTCAGTGGGCTTCACCTGGTGCGATATAAATAGTTGAGTTTAGTCTGAACGATGCTAATAACCTGTGTACGTTGCCTAATCTGTGCTCCTCTTTTTGTCTCTCAGTATAATTTGAAGCTCATGTGTCCAATGGGGATATCAAAACAACCTAATAAAACAGCAATTAACATACTTTTTTTAAAATTCATATTCAATTATATGAACAAAGTAATAATTTCTGTTAATCACAAAAAAATGTTACGTATATTTTCGTAGGTGCCTTTGCAATTTTAGCCGCTGGACATACAGTATATCCTATTGGCCTCTCGCTCCCCCTAAATCGGGCCTTGGCCTCAAGGGAGAAGTCGTGGTATGGAGCAATGTTCCACGGGCGGCATGTGTTCTGTGTTCGCATGTCTGAGTTTCTCCGTGTGTCCCTCTCTATAAAAGCGGCCGGGCGTGGTGTTGGTCACCCACCCTGTGCTAGCCTCCATAGGTGCTCACTAACAGCCTTTGCCCCAACAGGCTACACAGGTGATGTTTGTCCATGTCTTTGCATCCCCCCTACCCTGTATACCCGTTTGTGTCCACGTGTATCTTTGTGTCTCTGCGCATCTGCCCTCCAAGTATTTATGTGCCCGTCTATGTTGATGTACCTGTCATTGTCCGAGTGTCTGTCTGCCTTTATGTGTCCGTCTCCTTTCGACCTATTTCTGTGTCGGTGTCTCTGTGTGTCCGTCTCTTTGCGCCAATGTGTCGGTTCCTGTGTCAGTGTATGTCTCTTTATATCCATGTCTTTGCCTGTTTCGGCATCTCTGTTTCTGCATATGTCTTCGTGCATCTGACCAGTTCAGATATTCACCGCTGGTGTTAGCCATGGGCATGCGTCAAACTCGGGTCACTGGGATTGTAGCACGACGCGCTCACCACTAATCTACCGCTCTCCACGGTCATACTCACAGATGTGCGCACACACACACACATTCACACCACACTACAGAAATAAAAAAATCCCCGTAGGCTCTGTGCCCTGACAGCTGAAAAAACAAGGTGTTGGCATTTGGGATCGAACACAACATGCTACTGTACAACCCCACAAAGCAGCCCCTCGACTGTTAAGCACAACTGTTTATTAAACGATCGTATA